AAAAAAAAAAAAAAACATAATAATGGTGTGGAGAGGATGGCTAGAGGGGGAGAAGGGAGGCCATCAAAAAAAAATTAAAAAAAATAAATCATTATTAGCTAAATACCACTATTAATCGTGATTATTTTTTTGCCAGTATTGCCCAACCCTACTACTCAGTTGTCTGATACCAGTTTAGTCGGTCTAGGCCTGTCACGCTAATTAAATTAATCACACAATAAATTAAAATGAGGTTGATCATTTTCATTTCTTCGTGTCTCTCTTTTCTACTCCGTAGCGTAACGAGGAATGAACTCTGGCATTGAGTATTTTCCAGGTGTGTGGTCTCGTAACCTCGGTATAGAGCCCTGTGAACAGACATTTACCTAGTAGAGCATCATCTGTTTTCTGATGCCTTCTTTCAGCTGGAGACGCCTCAAGGCACGGTGCCGAATTTTTTGTTTGAGAGTAGTTCTTTTTTGGTTGTTTGTTTTAAACTATGTAAATTTTGTTGTTGTGATGTTAGAGCTCCGCTCCTACAGCAAACTCCTCTCCCAGTCTGTCCGTATCTTTACTTAAATTTAGTAAACTTCTGTAAATTTCGTAGCGTCTTGAGGGTGACCGCAGGTATTTTGCGAAGCCAGAGGAGGACACGGAATAAATTGCATCGGCTTTGATTGAGGTGGTGGGAAGCGATGTTACAGCTTCAGCAACTGTTGTGTTGCTTTCCTGAGTCTCCGGTCCAGGACAGTTTATAACTTTTTTTAAAGTAATTTCATAAAGTTCCATAAACTTCGTAAGCGGGGGATGGAGAGGTGTAATGTTATTAGTTTAAAATAGTCTCCAAATAATATCATCGTTTATCGCAATAATTTCTAAGACAATTTAATGTCCAGCAAAATTTATTGTGACAGGCCTAGGTCAGTCACTTAGCTTGAAACATGACTAATGTGAGGATTATTAATCTCTTTAAGCCTTCCAGCAAAAATGTTCATGTTGTAGCATATCTTTATCAAATAAACAGCAAATAATTTATTTTCCCTCTTTTTTTGCCTACTCTCTCACACTATTAAATGGCTGTTTTTAACTGCATTACTTTTCATGAGAAATAATGCATTATTTCAGTGAGCTGTAAGAGCAGAAATAAATTTATCCATGTCCGTCTTATTCACCTGAGCGGCTTATTTAGCTTAGTTTCAGCTATAGATTTGTTTAGACTCTTTATTATTCGATGGCAGAATTGGTTTGTCGAACTTCAGATTTAGTCCATTGGCGTGCCGCATTCCTAGCCGACTTCAAAAAATTGACCTGAGCGCCGCATAATTCATCTTAAATGAAACAGCTGAACACATGAGGTGAGTAGCGTGAAATTGACCTCCGAAGAGAAACGGTGTTTTGGAGTTGCATTGTGAAGATTTCCATTCAGAGAATCCAGGCTGAATTGATTCTGTTTGGATCTCTCCCTCTGTGTTTGTGTGATCTGAGTATCACCTTAATGCCCTTACAAACATTACTTCATGGCGGCTGCACCTTATCGGCTGCTGGATAATCACCAGTTGAGATAAAATCATATCCTTTCTTAGGAGTAGCTTATCCATGTTTGTTTCTTCTGACCTGCGTGAGGTCCTGTATAGCTTTATGGTTCTGTCTCTTCTGTTGATCTAATTGGACACACTCTGTTGCTTTCTATGAATCATTGCCGGACCTCCTCTCTCGACTCAAGTACTTACTTTTATTGAAGGCAGGGTCCCCCTGAATCTTAAGGCACAACCCTTAAAATGTGCATTTGTCCCTTGGCTTCGGTCATTGATTCCCTTCTTTCTTTTTTTTATTTTTCACAGCTCTGTGCATCAGAATCGCTTTTATTTCAGCTGCAGATCATAGGTCTGCTTTTATGTCTCCAGAGACAAGGCCACAAGTTCAGACCATTCTCCCCACTCCACTAATTGACTCCTAATTTGGCGAATGCACTTAAAGGCTGAATGAAAAAAGCCGACTCTTCTTCAGTTTCACAAATAGAGGTGACACTTCCTGCCCTGCTCTGTATATCTGCCTTTGACTGCTGTTGAAGCACTGAGCTCAGAGGTAACACAACATAGACGTTTCGCTGTTTAAAACCTTCTAGTTCTCTTCAACAAGGCGAGCATCTCACTCAACTGCTGATTCAAAACAGCTGCAGGAAATCAGCTTTTTGCTGTGACAATCGAAGGCAAAGATTTTTTAATTGCTTGCCATGCCGCAGAGTGGAAAGGCACGTGTTTTGCCTGTGGGTATTCAGATCGACTTGAGTGTATGATGTTTTAATGAGCCCGCCGTGTGAATGATTTGTTGCGATTGTGTGTGCTCGAAAGACTAATTTGTTTGTTTTTTGTTTTTTTTTTTTCCTTCCCTCCTCTCTGTGTTTTTTCAGTGCGTGGATTCTCAGTCAATTCAGAGGCATATTTAAGTTTTTCCAGACCGACCAGGATGTCAAAGATCTCCAAGTTGGCGAAGGCGGTGAAGGCGGTGAAGTCGGCGAAGGCGACGAAGGAAGTAATTCCAGGCAATATAATCCGAGCTATAGTGAGGTCAGGACAAGCAACCCCCGGACCCCCGCTGGGCCCCACCCTGGGACAGGTAAATTCCCTGTGATTTTGTTTCTTGTTCCATCGATTTGCTCAAAGTAATCACAAGCGTTGCCTTAATTGTTGGAGCTGTGCTTCATTTTATTACCTGACCTTTCTCACACAGCTTTCATTAGCTGCGAGACAACCTGTTCTTTTCTTATTTTCACTTTGCCAATCACAGTCTTTCTTCTTCTACACCCCCCCCCTCCCCACTGTACCCACCTATCTCCTCCCCATCTCCCGTTATAGCCAGGTTTTTATTTCTTATTCTAGTCGCACAGCTTCAGAGTGTGGGTTTGTGCCACACATTGCCTCCGTCTGCAGCTGTTTTCTCAGTTTCCAGGCTGAAGTCAGTAACACCTCCATCAACAGCTGCTGTCCCTGTACATTAGTCTTACTCCTTACAAGCCGGTAAATGAAATGGGACTGAACGTTTGAAAGGTTTTGTCTTAAATTCTTCTGTTCTTTCTGCTTCAATTGCTCCACAGAGACAACTTGGATTGTCTGTTTTATTTAATTATTTTTTTATTGCTCAGGGATGCATTACTGCGACTTCTTCACCACTGAAGCCAATTCCAACCAGAAAAATGTGTATGTTAGGTGGAAACAAAAAGATATGTCAGCAGTCTTCATACAAAAGCTAATTTAACATTTGTTATAAACAAGATACTTTGTCTGTACCTTAGATGCTGATGTTTTCATTAATCACACCACTGAGTTTTTGAAAAAAAAATCTTTCTAGGAAAGTTTTTACTTTAATTTTCTACCATAAAGCTGCAATCTGCTCCTGCTTTAATGGCCATTATGCTATTAAAGGTTGATTGTCCTTTTTCAATATTGAATGAAAGCAGCTGCATGGCTCATTCTGTACATACAAATGATCTAGTTATCCTCTTTAATGGACAGTACTCATCAGCCCCAAATGCTGCTTCAAACTTGGAGACCAGATCAATTCTCACAGCTAATCCATCTCTCCGACTTAATGGTGACATTTAGATAGGAGGGAGGAGAGGAGTGAACCAAAGCTGGCAGAAAATTTTCAGAAAAATGCAAATGTAAAGATTAAAGAAAGGAGATAAATAATGTAAAAACATTAGGCTTTTCTTATCTGCACTGACAGTTCGCACCATTATTTTAGGCTTCTGTTTAAAGTGACGTACTGTGCTGTTATACACTGAACACCTAAAACAGTTTAGAGTTTGTTGCATCACAGACTGAAAAGTGTTTTTTGTTTGTTTTACCCCACAGCCAAACACAAACCATTAAATAGTTGCCAAGTGTATAAAATAGGATTTCTAAATAATAAAAAGGATTTTCTGTGAGATGTTGGAGGCATGTCCACTGAGGGCGCTGAATGGCAGGCGGCTGATCAGAGTCGAGTTGGTTTGAATCGAACCGAACTGCTCAGATTTTAAACCCCAAACTGCAGATATTAAATGTTTTGCTCGTCTTCCAGCTGTGAATGTAAACTTTCTGGATGCCATAATGCTGGTTTCAGATCTCCAGCTTCAGACTGCTGCAGACTCAGAGCTGTGAGTAACGGAGCTGATGTGCAGGTGGAAGATGAACCTTTATCACCGTCTCATTATTCGTCAGCAGCTCAAGTGTTAGTTTGTCAGATACACAGCTGTGTGGCATAATTAGTCCGAGGCTGAGATCTTTCAGAAGGACAGTTTATGAGAGTGTTGGGGGTGGAGTTGGCTTTCTGTTGCCTTTTAAATCTTAATATTGAAGTTTTATATTGGGTATTTTACACCTGCTTTTAAATCCCAAACAGAAAACTGTAAATTCTCTATTGTAGGTTTTTGTATTTCAACTTTTTCGCCTTCAATAAGTCAGACACGCAAAGGTGTATTAACAGGAGCCACATCTGAAGCTGTTCTCTAAAATCTGCAAAATCATAAGTCGTTAAAATACCTGGGCTCGTCCTGCTCTTTTGAGTCCTATTTTTTTCCACTTTCACAAAAACACAGTTCCTTCTTTTTACCATTTTATTCTTTTTGTCATGTTTTCAAACGAGACTTTGATTTGTCTTTTTTCTAAAATGAAAAATCATTACTGGGAACAAAATGTCTCAAAGAGTCATGCTTGAATTTAGTGCTCTTACTGAAATTGGTACTTTTGTGCTTTAAAAACATTGTTTTAATTATCTTCACTACAGAAATTCATAGAGATATTTCCACTTGTAAAACAATGCTCTCTAACATCTGCATATTTTGTGTTTATACCAATTTTAACTTTTATTTAATTTTGATCTACCATTTTGCCACTTTTGCTTTTAGCCAGCCTTTTGCGCCTTTTAGCTTTTAACTGGCCTTTTGCTAGTTTTGGCTATTTTTGCTGCAAATCAGCTAGCGTTAAGTTTCAACTTAGCGTTCATTTATCTTATATATCCTCTACGTCCAAATGATTGTATGGTTAACTTAAATATATCTAACCGTGTATAGTTTAATCATATAGGTAGTGAAAGCGCAGAGGTTAGAAGGTGAGCCAGAGATTGGAAGGTTGCTGGTTCAATTCCAACAACAACAATGTGGTTGGGAAATCCTAATTCGCACTCTGGGCCCTTGAGCCAGGCACTTAACCCTCATCTGCTCCCCGGGCACCTAAAATTGGCAGCTCCCTGCTCCACATGTGTGATGGGAAAAAGGCAGAGAATTAATTTCCCCATTGAGGGACAATAAAGGTTATTAAAAAGAAGTAAAAAAAAAAGAAAGTGTCTGACTACCAAAGAGCATATAGTTGGAGATAAAATGCTTTTATTTTCAGAATGGTTACTTTATATATATATCTTTTATTGAAATTTCTGACCCAAGTTAATAAAAAATAAAATGTATTTTTTATATTATTATTTATTATAATTATTATCGTTATTTATTTAACCAGCAAATTCTTATTGAGATCAGAGATCTCTTTTACAAGTGAGTTCTGCACTGGAAGGCTGACTAATATTCATGTTTTTGGTCTGTGAGACGAAACCAGAGTACTTGGAGAAAACCCACGCAAACATGAGGAGAACATGCAAACCCCACACATAAATATCCCCAGTCCAAACCAGGAATTGAACCCAGGACCTTCTTGCTTTGAGGCATCAGAGCCGTCATGCTGCCCATAAATCAAAGGTCTGCCTTGTTCTGTTCTAAGCACAGAGCAGAACAGCTGTTGTTTCTAAATGCTCCATGTTTCATGTCGTTCCACATTGTTTGAGAGGTTTTTGTTTGTTTTTCTTTGTAAAAGGCTTCTAGCTGTGCGACATCCTTGGAGTGCTGATTTTCTTTGATTTGATGTTTGTGTCAGGGGGCCTGTTAGCACCACAGTCAAGTCCTCACCTTGTGGCTTTTGAGGCACTTTTTTATAAACTTTGTTTTTGATCATTAATCGCCACAATCCATCCTCTTTTTCATCTTTTTTAGTTTTTAAATCAGACCACCCCACTTTTAGATTGCATTTTAAGAGAAAAGTGTTGAATACACCTCTTCTTCTATTTGGGTTGGAAAAACAACACTTCATTTATTAGTTATCTAAAAAGCTGCTAATTAATTTTTGGCAGAAGGATTACAGATGAATAATTTAGGATTTACATCAAGTAGTTCTGTTCAGAGCCTCCTATCATCCCTGCAGCTGCTTCCATACCTGTTCTTTTTTTTCTAAATGCTAAATGATTTATAAAGACTGAGTCTGTGTGGTGGCTTTGCAGATGGCGGTCTTTAATGAAAGAGTTTTTGCTAAGTAATTCAGTGTTAGAAAGGAGAGCTTTTTAACATCACAGCAGTGAAGAGGTTATACTTCTTACAAGTTCCCCTGGCTGGAAAACATTTTATAAATGGATCACATGATTAAATGAAGCAAAAATAACTTGCATTCAAGACTGCAGCTCTCCTCGGCTCTTCTGAGCACATCAACCTCCTTACACTCATTATTTTGGTTTTTCAGGCGTTCATCTTCGTGGTTTGCTTCAGTCTCACTGCTGTTGACGGTGATGGTTGTAGTGGAGCATTTAGCAGCTAAATGGTCAGGGTGAAACTGGTCTTAGGAATAGTAATAGATGCTTTAGATGTCTGTCTTTTGGATGTGTAAATAAGAGGATTTTCACTTGGAAAATTAAACATTGATAGCTTGTTTATTTACAGATTATGTTGCTTTGCAATCACCAGAGATAACATATCTGAGTTGAGTGGTGTAAAATTAAAGTGCCTATGACATCAAATTTTGTCATAAATATCAATGCATTTTTGGAACGATAACATTGATTAAAATATTGCAAAGAAATTTCACGCCATTTAGATGAACAGTTGCTGAGATTTTCATATATGAAGTAACAGGAAGTGCTTTCTAAGGGGAATGTCTGCATGTGAACAGAGCATCGCTACAACAACGAACGGTAGAGAATATTCTGATGCTTCTTTAGATTATTTTGAGTCAATGTCAGAGAGATGAAGAGTTCAAATAATATTGTTTCAATAAAGTCTGGGGAGAGACATCAAAGAGTTCCCCTTTGATGTCACTTCCTGTTTCACTTTGGCTTGTCAAGTTTAAAAGAAAATATGCCAGTTATGTGACAAACTGCATAAAATCATGCATATTATGCTAGGTTTCTTAAATACAAAGATATTTTTTAATGTTTTTTATTGGAAGGAAATGCATGTCATGGGCACTTTAAGTCCCAGCCTTCCTTGAAGGAATACATATCATCTGCTGACTTATTTAATTTATTTATTTGTTGTTGTTTTTTTGATTGTTTTAGGTCAAATTTTGAAACTAACAAAGTGCTCATTCTCATGAATTTATCTGAGATGTTGCACTCTGTATGTTTTGTGACTGACTCATGTCATGTTTTAGCTCATAATGTATGAAATTGAGTTGTAGCCATTTTTGAATTTTTTAATGTCGATTAATTGTTGCATTTGTTGAATTTTGTTGAATCCAAAAGTTATTCAGTTGTTGATGTGCATCAAATGATTACTTTTGGCAAGTTTGAATAAACTTTATGTATGTTTTATAATATTTTGG